TTKKTKKTTYYWAAAAATACTCTTGCAAACATGGCGACATTTATCCACTTTAAGCACCCAACATGCTTCAGTAATTATTCCAGGCCTGTGTGTGGCGTCACAAAACTACATCATAAACAGGAAACAAGGCGAGAGGTGCACATWAAGATACAGGTTGTGTGTGAAACCCTTCTTATGTAGGTGACCCTGAAGACACGGTGCTTCTTGGTTCATCATGGACAGAAATGGCAGCTCTAGAAACACGAGGGGAAAAAGTAGTTCATATCTTTTAAAGTGTGTTTTTTTTATTTATTTATTTTTTATTTGTGTTTCTGTGGAAAACGTCTGAACTTTTAATATCTCACATGTAGCCTTTTGATCAAATTCACTTTGGAGAAAAAGTAATAATATTCTGACTAAAATTAATTTCTGGCATCTGGAAACTACTTCACTCAAAAAAATTTTACAACCCTTCTCTTTCACATTATATGTTTATTTACAGAGAAGTTTATGGATATTTACAAACACAAATAGCAACAGCAGCAGCTAGCTGCAGCACATCTGGTRTAGTCTGCGTCACTTCCTGTTGGAGGGTCATATCTCTGAAAGTCTGGCAGCAATCCACGTTGGCTTCAGCCCCTTTGAGACTCGTCGTTAACTCATCATTCTAGTCAGAATTAAACTCCATTTCCATAAAATAATGTTCTTCAAAGCTACCTGCAGCAGGTAAGATATTGTTTGTTCATTACCTTTCCTCAGAACCACCCTTCAAACGATCTACTTTGACTTCATAACATAAGTGATGTGCAACTTTTCTGCTAGTTTTAGCATAAATAAATGGTTACGGTGAAAGAAAAAGAAAAGAAGTTTTACTTTGAAATTCGTAGCCACCAAACTGCTGCTCCTCTCAGCTCATTTTTATCTCCAGTTTATCTCGCTTCGCTCCTTTGTGCGATGGCGGTGTTATTACTTGGTTTCATGGTACTTAATCTACACTTGGAGCTCGGTATAATTTTGAAAAGGTTTGGTTGTGGTTGCTAGAGAGCCGTCCCTCGGTCTTCTCCTCTTTGGCCTTATTACAGGCCACCTGAAGAGATAACAGGCACGATGTATTGACTTCATGCTCTCATTGGGCTTCGCCATCGATCTCATGATCCTGCATGGGTGCACGTTCCATCGACCCATCAGTCCAATTCTGTGTGTTTCAACCCCTCCAGCCCTCAAACTGATAGCGTTACGTGCGAGACACCATCGGACCTGTTGTGGTTGAGGGTGAAATGTTCTCAAGTGTTTATTAGAAACAATATAAAACCACTGAACTCCCTGTTTTACTTGGAAGTTGTCAGAACTTGAGTTGAAGTTTTAAAGTACCTGTGACATGCATTTTCATAAAATAGAAAAAATCAAAGAAAATATATTTATATTTAATAAACTTGGCACTATATACATGATTTTAGCCGTTATGTCACGTAATTGGCACATTTCCTTTTGAACGTGGCACAGCTAAAATGAAACAGGAAGTGACATCAAAGGGGAACTCTTCAAGAACGGGAACTCCGTAGATTTTGTTTATTTAAACAATATTTGAACACTATTTCTCATCTCTTTATGATAGTGATTAAAATAATCTACAGAAACATCAGATTCTTCTCTACAGTATGTTTTTTAGCCTTTGTAGCAAMGCTTTGTTTACATTCAGACATTCCCCTTTGACATCACTTCCTSTTACTTCACATGCAAATATCTCATCAAGTGTTCAGCTCAGCGGCGTGAAATATTTATTTTAAATGTGTTGTAATGTTATGATTCCAAACATACATTCATGTTTATTACCAAAATGTGATGTCGCAGGCRCTTTAACACTAATTAGAAAAGAAAGTTGTGTGTAATGTTAATAAAAAACAAAATAGGAATCATTTGCTAATCTCTTAGTTTATATTCACAAAAGAATGTAGTAAATATATCAAAGGTTTTAGAAAACTCTGATCTGCCTTTATAGATACACAAATCGGTCCCGGTTAAAGCTCTGCACTTTTTCTGCAGATGCATTCCTTCGTGCATAACGTCTGTTTTATCTCCGTTTTTGGCCRTTTGACTATCTTTATAAATGTCTGCAGCTGTATGACAGTCGACTTCTGGGAGCGAGTACTTAYTTTTATTTATTTTGAAGAGAGTCGTTGTTATTATTATTTTTTCTTTTACGACAGGGTCTCATTGGCCGGCCAGACGGAAGTCAGTCATGGGTCAGATATGGCCTGCGGGCCACCAGTTGTCCGTCCCTGTTTTAGAGACTGAGGAGACCAGTTGCTGGAGTTTTTAGAGGGGAACWGTATCCCAGTCTTGTCTGATGGGRAATTCTAGTGTTAAACAGACTCATTTCAGTCTTAGCTAGAGGCACTGATGCACCCCTATACCATAACTCAGGGCTATTCAACTAAACTGCCCCGGGGGCCACAGTTACTGCAGGCCAACAGCTGAGGGGCCGAACATCCAGCAATTAAAGTCATTATGTAAATAATCCAAGTAATACAAAGACCTGTTAYCTTTGAATTAGTTTATTTTGCTGCATTTAATCATGAATACAACATACAGAACTCTATAATAAAAGTAATGATAATAAAACAATATCAAAAACAAAAGTAACACATTCTGCCTCCTATTTAATCCAAATATTTTGACATCTCTGAAAGCAATTTTATTTTCACTTTCGTAGTTTTATCTTCAACTGCTTGTAGTTTTAACTTTCTTGGTTCATAGAAATGGTTTTTATCAGCTTGTAGCCAAGATCCTGATGTTTCTGTAGACACCAAACATGTCTGTGTCCAACTAAAAGTAATTAAAGTATAAACTGGTGGTTTGACTTAAGAGATGAATGAACCAATTGGCGGGCCAAACTTTGGTCACTCGCAGGCTGGATGTGGCCCGCGGGCCTCCAGTTGAATAGCCCTGCCATAAGAGAGGCAGGCTTTTGAACTGACTGAATGGTCCTGGRTGTCTGTGGTTTCAAATTGGAATTTAAAGTTTGAATTAGTCTGACCCCAGAACAGTTTTCCTCTTTGCCTCGGCTCGTTTTACGTGATTGTTGGCCCCGAAAGGACAGCAGTAGTTCTGGGTGGTTTATTTTTTGTATGATAGAGCTTTAACCAGCGTTTTTGGATGATAAAATGCTCTGTTTCTATCCAGTCCTCTTACTAACCTGTTGATAATCAACATAATGAGATACAAATATCTCCTTCAACTGTTTATATTTGTACCTTTTACTGTTTCCATTAAATTCAAAATGACTTTTTTTCCCTCAAATTGTAAAATGTATTAGTTTAAACATTTGATATGTTTACTGTGTTGTTATAAATTAAATTAATAGTTTTATTTACACATCATCGTACAGATTTGGAGTTGTAGGATAATTTTATTTATTTATTTTCCCTCTCTCCCTCTTTCTTCTCCAGAAATCGTGAACCGTATGAATGACGTGAAGGAGGCRTATCAGAAGCTAAAAGACGTGCCGGACAAAGCGTTGGCCACCAGCAGCTACTCGGACGTTGACCTGGCCAAACTCTTCCAAGCCTTCGCCTCCCTCAAATAAAACCCTCTCACCTCCGCCGGACAGGAACCTGCCGCTCAGACGTTTGACGACGCCGCAGCCACACCTGTTTCTGGTTTGCAAATAACCGCGTGATTACCGATCGAAGTTTTTAAGGCCTAACTGGCAGCTTGTATTCCTTAAAACACCAATCAGACCTTCCCCTGGTCCTTTTCTCCTCGCACACACTCACACTCRTGGCTTGACCCCACCGCCCCGACTCTGTATGGTGAAGGCGAGCGGCAATCATACCTAAATGACGGTCTATTGTATGTGCAGAGGCTGGATGAGCCCAGATGTGTGCGTGCGCGCTCGCGTGTGTGTAAAAAATGGCTTGTCCTCAGAGCAGCTGGTGTACTCCAGAGGCAGCTAATTAGCCAATGATAGTGACCCCAGCCTCCATAAGACCACTGGATGCCTGCGGCGATCGGACACTTGTTCTGATTACCGCCATTCATCCCGTGTGTGAGTGTTACGAGTGTGTGTCGGATCAGAGGAGGGAGGAAGAGGGGAAAAAAAGGGAAAAAAGAGGGAGAGAGGAGTATGCAGGGAGTGGTGGGGTGAGGAAGGCCACACGCGCTGCTCCTTCTCTCTTTTGTCCCAGTATCGAACGTCTGATCCGCTGCCCCTCCCCTCCGTTTAACTCGTGTCAGCTCGTCGCCCTGATCTGGACAGATTTCAAAATAATGTCTTGTTTTTTTTTTTAATGTTTTATTCTTTTTGTTCCACTTAATCCGAATATTTGTTATTGATGTTTTGATACTAAAACTTTAATAAAAAAAATGTATAAAATGGTACAGTAGCCAGTTTTTGTAGGATGGATGTTATAAAAAAATATTAAAATTAAATTTCTGATGAATAGTAATTGT